ACTAGAGGGCTTGCTGGAGCATGTTCTTTTCAGGACAATGGCAGAGGTACAAGAGTTAAAGAAACACCCAAAGCCTCCTAAGTCCTCGACTATAAATTGGTACCATCACTCCCGCTCTGTTTCATTGATCAAAGCAAGAGGCCAAGGCCAAAGTCACAAGGCAGGAAGTATACTCTGACTGTGACAGAGCCATGATAATTATGCAGTGCAGGAAGACACAAAGAACTTGGATCAGCAACTACTTCACACCTACTGAGGCAGAGTCATTTTTTTCCTACAACTTAGTGGGTTTTCTATGTATTTGATTCCAGTCCATTCTACGTGTCAAAGCCACATTTTTTTTTTTTCCAAGACAGGCTTTTCTCTCCCGATTTAATTACTAGCACTTTGGGCACATCTGGTGGCAGTAGTACTATACCTTTAAGCTTCATAGGAGGTTTAAAAGTCACTTCGTAATAGTTTGTAATGTTATTAGCCACACCCCTGATTGGGTCTTTACCCTGAGGCCATGTTTTCCTGCAAGCCACCTAGATTTGGTCTTTGTCTCTCCTGCTATGATGCAACAACTGGACCCTAGACTTGATCTTTGTCCCCAGGTCATATCTAAATTCGAGAATCTTTTTCTGGCTGGAGAGGCTGAAGATTAGAAACAGCTTTATTTTTTAAGCCAACAACTTCTGGACTGCTTGCAAACTGTTTTATTTGGTTCTGAGCATATCTCCTTTCCTGTAGTATTTACCTATATGCATTTATTTAAAAGCAAACAGCTCATGCTTTCAAAATTTTTCTTGGAAAACGAGTTTCTCCTAGCTCCCCCGTCCTTTCATTTGATTATGCTGTTCACTGCTCTGCGTGCTTACACCACGCAACAAATCAGTGGGTGGAAAAATCCTAATATTTAGATTTGCATACACAGAATGTTCCACTTGAACCTTAAGGTCAAATTTATCTGTACGAAACAACTCTTCCATAACTCTACTGAGTGATAGCAAGATCTGGCTTAGCCCCAAAGAAGAAATTAGAATTTTTTAATCGTACTATGTTTAGATCTCTTCTTGGAACCATAGAGAAGAAATAAGAGAACAGGATTTGGATATTCCTATTTTGGATTTTCAAAATCTTACCTTTGTCCCTTGGAAGGTCTGCAGGTGCAAATTCTACTGGTCTGGAAGTGTGTGGAACAGAACTATACCATTTGTTAGCCCCAATAAATGGTGGAGTCATGGAATACCAGTTATTTGGTAGAGCATTAGATGATAGAATGGTTTGGTTCCATCAAAAGCATGACACAGATCAGTTCAAGTTCATGAATAAAAGGTTCCTCCTTTTTAAAAATTTTTAAAAAGATTTTATTTATTTATTTGACAGAGAGAGAGAGTACAAACAGGGGGAGTGGCAGGCAGAGGGAGAAAGAAGCAGAAGCAGACTCCCTGCTAAGCAAGGAGCCCAATGTGGGACTAGATCCCAGGACCCTGAGATCATGACCTAAGCCAAAGGCAGATGCTTAACTGACTGAGCCACCCAGGCACCCCAAGGTTCCTCCTTTTAGAGTTAACCACCAATTTCCTCCACAAAGGCTCTAGACTGATTTATAAAGCTTATGATAGTGCTTAGGTCTATTAGTGGATGTATAAACTATCTATGGCCCATCACCCTCCACTGCAGAATCAGTGAGTTCAAGGCTGTAGACACTACAGACTTTTGCAAGTATATGGGTACACATCCCTCTTTATCCCACTGGTGGCAACAAGAGGCTAACCTATCAAAAGTGTATGGCCTGTCTCCACTAGAGATAAAGCTAAGCTTCTTACCTCTGGGAATCCCTGCATAAATTCAACTTTTAGCATAGGGCAAATGGACCAGGACTTCCTGGAATATAGGGCAACAGAGCTGGCTTTGGTGCTTACCTCTCCACAGTCTGTAGATCTAACTGGGGACTCAGCTGCCAACAGACCCAGCCCTTCTATAGGTTCATGGAGGCTGTACACTATGTGGGTTTCACCCAACTCGTTCCAAAGAGGATCAGTCAGCCACGCCACAAACTAGACAAAGAGGGTCTCTCATTCCAACCCAAATGTTTGGGCAGGAGTTCCTGACATATTGCCTTATATCTCCCATAACAAATTTGGTATGACTAGTGTACTTAGAATTCAATCTCCCTGGATGGACAGATATAATTTCCTTATGATGTCCTCCTCTGGGCCCAGCAAGAGGCTCTAGCTGTAAAAGTAGGGTGTTGTCCACCTCTAGGCCTGCCTTAGGAGTCAGCATGATCACATATAAGTCCTTGGTCCCAGTGCCCCAGAAGCAGGTTTGTTACCTCAGGTTCTACTGAAAGAAGCATGTTAGTCCATCGGCCCTAGGAGAAACAGGCTGTCAGAAGAGAAATGCTTTGAGACAACAATTGTGGTCATAACTTGCATAGTTTTCTGTGTGTTGATTGTCCTATGTTCTATATATATGTTTTCTAACACAGCAACTTCTGTGGAAAAAAGCCTAGGCTCAGAGAAATTAAATAACTTGCCTCAGGTCTCCCAATGAGCACTGGGACCTGAAGGCCGGCATTGTGTCTCCACAGTCCCAGTGCTCTGCCCTGGTGTATGTTATCTGGCCTGCCTGCCCTGGAAATGCAGTATTTACCAGTAGGAAGGGTTTGCCAGCCAGGCATGATTCTCAGCTTTGAGGATAGAGATGTTAGTTCACTGCTCCTTCATCCGTTTTCCTGAACACATTCTATCTGGAAATTTGAAGAGGACTTTTCCCCAAGAGCCTCTTCTTGGAAGGAGATTGAAGTCTCCTCTGCATACTGAGCCAACCCAAATGTTTGTTCTCAGAACCATTTTGAGCTGCTCAAGTGCACAAAGACTTCAGTGGAAATTCCAGACTTTTACAACTTAGAACGTGGCAGAAATGAATTCAGTCTGGAAATTTCAGTATCTTACCTATAGAATCTGACTTTGATGAGCACTGGCTGTTCCACCAAGAGGAATTAGCTGCAAGTGATCTAATTAGTCTACTACATGGGAGCTTATATCAAACACTTGAATTGTGGGTCAAGTCCTTCAAATACAATCGTAGCCATTTTACAGTTGATTCTAAGAAGTAACAGGAAAATGGGATCAATTACTTCTTGAGACATTTGTGAATATAAAATCATAGTGACAAGAGAAAAAAGAAAAGTTTTTCTGAAATGCTATGGAGTAAATTCTGTTGGAAGAAAAAGAGAAAGCCTTAACTTCCATTGTTTTATACCACTGAGAAGTAAATATGATGTATTGAGAGACTATTCATCATCACTCTGGTTTGTGGAGTGGTTTGGAAAGGCAGGCACTGTCAAAGCATGAATAGTTAGAACTTGTGCTGAACGCACACAGTTTGGCCCAAACTGGGTATCTGCCCCCCATTTCTAATATGCATGTATTCATTTTTTTTAAGATTTTATTTATTAGAGTGTGTGTACGGGGTGGGGGGCAGAGGAAGAGGGTGAAGCAGACTTTCCACTGAGCGCGGAGCCCAGTGTGGGGCTCAATCTCAGGACCCTGAGATCATGACCTGAGCTGAAGTCAGACACTTAACCCACTGAGCCACCTAGGCGCCCCCAATCTGTATATATGCGGACCTTCAGTGAACAGCATTGTGAATACCAAGAACCCAGGAGTTGTTCCTACCTCCCCCTAGTGTTGCATCTCTATATCCAGTCTCTAAATCCTAATAATCCACTGATATTTAGGTAGCTGGAAGCCATTCCGCTCTCTTCATATAGCACCATAGTCAGGCTCTCAGAATCTCGTAACTGAATTCCCCAAGCCGCCTCCTAACAGGCCCCCTGGCCCCAGTGTTACTCCTGCTCCCTCCAACCTCTGTGCTGCTGCTGGTATGATCTTTCTGAAATGTAAAAGGGATTCTGCTGTCTAAAACTCTCCACTTGGCCCCTGCAGTTATAAACTCCTTGGCCTGTTTACACAGTGCTGCCCATCTGCTGTGACAGCCTTCACACCAGCACATGGTCACTCTAGCTAATTCAACAAGCAAGAGGGCCAAGATGCTCTATTGCTCTTTCTTCTCTCTCCAAGCTTTGGTTTTTGTTTCCATGTGCTTGGAATGCCCCTTCTCTGACCCCGTACTCACAGGAGAGAGATAGGCATGGAAAGCGAGCAAATGTGGGCAGTAGAGATGGGTGTGCAACACGATGAAGGACACTCGGCAAAACTGTTCATGTGGATTCCTACAGGATGGGGTGGCAGGGGATGTGTTAAGGGAGTGGAATTGCATGATATACTTTTTGCCTTCCTATAATGCTTATGGATTTTTTTATTGAGAATATGCTTAATTTATCTCTTTATATTTTTTCACCACATTTTCCCATCCTCACCTTCAGAGATACTGATTCAATGGGGAAGCATCTAGGATTCTGATCTTCCACAGCCTCCCTACTTCCCCCTAGACTCTGTTAATCAGTTTTGGGAATCGTGGTTGAAATGATTATTTCCCAATATAAGGCAACTGACACCTCTGAGAAAAACGTCAACGCTATTATACAATACTTTTTTATTATTTCCTTTTCTTTTGTAGTAGCTTAATTCCACTACCAATACATATTCTCATGTCTCTACTACACTTGAATTATCTGTATGAATTATAATAGCCTTGACAGCCATCTAAATAGCCACATTTGAATAAAGGGCCTAAATAATCATTGTAAAAAGCATGTGTTTGTGCAGTAAGTTTATAAACCATTTTAAAATTAAGGCAAACAAGAAAAAAAGCTACAAATACAAATATCAGGGCTTCCTAAATCCTAAATTTTTAACACTAACTTAAGTACCATTTGATTGGTTCTCAAAACAATGGCTATTCTCAAAGTATAAAATAGAAAGTTATTATAAATATCAACTTTGGTATAACATATACCTATTTCCCTATTTTCAAGTTTTTGACTTCGGGAAAATATAAACATGTAAGTGTTCTTATAATTAACTTTTGAAAACATTTATAATACCCTAAAATTCAGACATTAGAGCATCTATTTCTTTAAATTTGTTAGTTATATTTTCAATACATTCTCCAGCTTTTAATTTTATCCCATCAATTACAAGATAGTCCTCTTCATAGTGGTTTTCAAATGGACTGCCTGCTGGAACTCCAGGGTTGCATTTAGATAACTGTAAAAATAACCACACAATTCATCAGAACTACATCAGGTTTACTGGAAGACCAGGCTTAATTATTTGAACAAAATGTAAAGTAGTCACTAACTTCACAAGCCACAGCAGTTACACAAAGCGTTCTGTTATGCTGGTGGTCCAGTAATGACATTCCCCATGTAGAGTAGAATGTATAGTAAATGTGTTAATATGAGAAGAACTGATTATTCAGGCCCTATCTCTTTTCCCCAACTTTATACATATTTAGTTTTAATATTAAGCTTTGGGGAAACATGATCAGCTTCATTCTATGAGTTTTCTATATTTATTTTTTAAATTATTATTATAGGTAATACAACTTAAAACCATTTAAATCACTTTCTCTGGCTATCTTCTCATAAGCCTCTGCATTACTTACAAATAGCAATCGTTTGCTCTAGCTCAGTAGGAAGGGACACTAGTAAAAACAATGCAAACATCCATAAACACACACAAGATTTATAACTTCAAGGCTCATTAAAGGTAGAGTGAACTTCCATGAAATTAAGAAAAAAAATAATTTATACAAGTATTTTCACGTATCAAAAAATGTACCTTTTAATACAAATAATTATTCACTAAACTCTGTCTTATTTATATATGGCTTATCTAATTCAGGTGGATTTTACACAAATCTGATATTAATTCCCTCTCATTGCTTGCAAAGCCGGGGCATGACAACCAATGTTAAAATTAGCTAAAGAAGAGTGTAATGAGGAAGGTGACTCTACTAAGGAAAATAATCTCATAAAACATTCCAGTGACAAATAGAAGAGAATTTTGATTATCCACGTGTGTATGCATTTTTTTTAATGTTGCTACTCTCACCCATTGGTATAAATGCTTGAGAGTAATCAACCTGAACCCTCATACGTGAAATGAAGGATGAAAATCATCAAATTTACAACTTTGAAAAGAGCTCAAACAATATCTGCTCAGAGAATAAACATGCTCAGAACCTTAAAATTACCAGTTGGCTCTTTTGGGGATGTTAGCTTGTAAGAGACCACTTTCTCCTGCAAACACAACACAGCTCCAGTTTTAAGTGGTGTTAACTTTGGAAACCATACTAATTTTCCCTACCAACTTAAAAAAAAGAAAGCGAGAAAAAGAAAAGAAAAAAAAGAAACCCCTGAGGTGATCATTTCTTTTCTTTTAAACTGGAAATTGTTCCAGCTTTGATAGTTGGTTTCATTGCTGTTCTCCTCATTTAAAAGTGAACAAGGCCCTAAATATACTGAACCTGGTATGAATGCCAGGCTTACAAAGCTCAGTGCAGAGAAGGGCTTATGAACCAGTCTGCAGGGGGCACTCACCTGCCTGCCAGCAAGTTAAAATGATTAATTTTTACAATTCCTCAATGGCTTTTGAAAGCATAAAATATTATAAGAATCAAACAAAAAGCAAGCTCCTGCCTGGTGATATATTAAAACTATGTATTTTACCTTAAGAAATAAAACTCAGAAGTCATTTTCTGTTCTATCATCTTACTGGTTATAATGGTAAAACAGAAGCCAATTCTGTGGCTGTAAAAGCTCCAGGACATCTCTATAAAAATCAACCTGGCCGGAGTTTTGAAAAGACAAACTGCAAAGACTGAAAACACATTGCACAAAACCATATGGTGCTCCAACAAAGCTTTACACACTTGCTAGGAAAGAATAATTTGTATATTCATTACGTGTATATAATATATATATCACCAGTCTATAGATCTTGTTTTACAGAAAGTAAGATCTATACAGAGAAAACAAGTTTTCTCAAAAAGGAGCTCTAATTGGAAAAATGGCATTGACAACCCATGCAAATTCAAATATGGGTTGATATTGCTGGTGCTAATTAAGAAAGCTATGTTTTTCAAGTTGGTAAGAGTTTTCAGCATTAATTTTATTTTCTTTTGGCGTATTGATCTCTTTAACTGTAACTCTTGTATATTTTGATTTCTAACTCAAGAAGGGAGGTGTTTACGAATCATCTTTTTACTTGTTGGGAGTCCTGAATGAAATCACGCAATCGGGCAGTCTGCCAAAGTGTGTAAACAACCTTGTCCATATACAAATCCACCTTTTTCAGCAACTGAGAAGAGACACACTAGGGAACAGGTAGTTGCTCCAAGTGAGAATGTGAGAAAAGATACGAAGTAAGGAAATCTCAGCCCTTATTCTCTCCGGTGACCACCACTGCCAATTCTCATCTGTAGTAACAGCTAACCTTAGGTGTCAGTTACTATGCAAAATATTTTTCCCGGTTTGCCTTATTTAAAAAAATCCTCTGTGGCATGTGATAAGCAACTGTGCCAAATTACACAAGTCCTCAATGGCAGGACTAGGACTGGACATTGATAGGATATTCCAGAGTCAGTGCTCCTAACCATTGCGCTCTCTCGACTCCAGGCACAGTATGTATCTACACGAATGAATGAGAGAATGAATGAAACCTTAAGGATACGGGACTTCTTGCTGCCATTTTTCTCCCTATTTCGAGAACAGCTGTACTGCCTTGTGGAAGTGTCTGCGTTATGACTTATTTTTCTCACACCTACCACATTGCTGCTCTGTATTAATGACCTGGGCTCGCACCCTCATTTTATTTGCATGAACATGGAGCTGATGTGCTGAGCAGCTTGTCAACCAACTTAAAATTTATGTTGCCACATACAAATATTGAATAAAGTAATAAGCACACACTTAGCACAACATAGGTAGCCAAAAGAAAAAAAGAAGGAAAATTCTACATCCAATGTGTTAATACTGAGGTCTGTCCCTGCAGAGGTTGTTCTGTGCACGGACCAGGCAGGGCAGATGTCCTAGCAAGCTGCTCTTAGCCTGGCCCGTTCTCCTGACTGTGAAGGTGGGCAGCAGTGGAGAGGTCTCTCTGCTGTGGCACCCCATCAGCTTCTGTGAGCCCCCCCAATCTTTCTTCATTCCAGCCTCAAAGATCTGAAATACAATGAGTTCTTCCGTTCACAGATTTTTTTTTTCAAAGACTGATAGATGTATTCTGACTTTTCAACAGGCTACTAGTTTATTATTCACTTCAGGATAATCAAGGGCTCAAATTTCAGAAGGGAAAAAAAGAATTCTCCATATAATTAAAATGTACATCCAGAAACAATTTCTGCCATGTAAAGAACCTGAAGTTGCTGTTTAGGCCTGATCACGGGCTACCTTTGCTCCTCCATTTACCTCCTCTTCCCGCTCCTCTTCGGACTCATCAGCGGCCGCGGCGGGCTCCAGCGCCTGTTGCAGCATTTGCTCCAGCTCTTTCAGCATAACCTCTGTCTCACAGACAACTAAAAAACATCAGTAAAAAAGGCTACATCTTCATTAATTCAATCGAATCCGTAATCTTAACCACCCCAAAAGAGAACATTGTCCAAATGGGCCAAGATAAAAAAAAATTTTGTATACTTTTCACGTATGACCTCTGCTTGATGCAAAATAATTATGGATTTCCAGGTGAATATTTTACACTTATTCCTTTAAAAATGTAGGTGATCTTCTTGCTATGGTCACAAAAAGCTCACTAGGAGGGTTTTTTGTTTTGTTTTGTTTTTTTAAATCAGGGCCAAACTAAATTGTTTTTTATAAACCAGGGGTCAGCAAACTCTTCCTGGGAAGGGAAAGAGAGTAAATATTGCAGGCTTTGTGGTCTCTGTCACCACCACTCATTTCTGCTGCTACAGTCCGAACCATAGACATGTACCTAAACAAATGCGAGTCACTATGTTCCTATCAAACTTTATTTACAGAAGCAAGTGGACTGTGGGCTACAGTTTGCCATCCCTCCAGTAAACTCTTAAAACTACTGTTTAAGAGGGGAAACCATGTAATTAAATGGCAAGGCTAAACACAGGCTAGTCTATTCCTAATTCAAACACCAACAAATCTTAATTGCTTAATCTGATATCTATCTGTATCTATATATATATATGTAGATATAGATATATTTTAAATACCACACTTAAACAAAATTTGTGTGTGTGTGTGTGTACTACTGTGACATGAATTCACTGAACTTGCTGAGCTAAAATAATAACCCCACAAAAGAAATAAACTACTATTATATAACTCTATAGACTCAACTACTGATTAATAACATGCAGTTGAATTCCTGACTTAAATAAAATAAACATTTTTGTTTGATATAGTCTTGTTGAAGTAAAAATCAAGGAGACCACGTGTGGCCTGCTGTCCTGTACAACAGACAGATGGAGCATCTGAGAAGCCCTTCCAAAGGCAACATGATTCAAAGAGAAAGGCCATGAATACACACCCCATCATTTTCCACTCTGGTGACAAAAAGCAGACATACCACCTCCTATTATCCACCATTCTTTGGCAGGTCACCAAAAATCACACTAGGTAGAGCAGCTAAAAGTTCGTGGAACATGAAAATAGACCCAAGCAGGACATACGCTTTCAAGCTAAAATATTATCAATGAATATGGAAGCAAGGCATTCTCAGCACTAAGTTTTAATCTAATTGTTGAACATATTTCAAAATTTTCTAACTAATCATGTTTAGGAAGAGTGCATATGATATATGCATCCCTTTATGTGTGTGTGTTCATCCTTGTAAACTAAGCACGTTGTAAGGTAAAAAACAGAGATTGTTAATGTGAAAAGTTTTATGTTTCCTTTTCTCCAGTTCAAAAGAATCCATGTTTTATCAGAATCTTCTTTGCTAATAATTTTCTCTCATCTTTTACTCATAAGAAGGAAATTTTAATGACTTTTTTGAAAAAATTTTTTAAGGTTTTATTTATTTATTTGACAGAGAGAGACACAGCGAGAGAGGGAACACAGCAGGGGAAGTGGGAGAGGGAGAAGCAGGCTCTCCTCGGAGCAGGGAGCCCAATGCGGGGCTCGAACCCAGGACCCTGGGACCATGACCTGAGCTGAAGGCGAACGCTTAATGACTGAGCTACCCAGGCGCCCCAGGAAATTTTAAAATTATGCTAGAACATTATTAAAGAATAGTGTTAAATAAGTCATGGGAGGTTACGAAATAGAAAATTTTCCCTTTCTTGGTTGTTACTACAGTATAAAAAAACAATTTTTAGTTAACACTTTTCACATTACAATTTTATCTACAAAAATAATTTTTCTGTCAATACTTATCACTTGCCCCAAGTGCTTTTATATTCATTCAACAAATATCAATTATTTGCCTACTAAGGGCAAGGGACTCGAGAGTAGGCACAGACCAATGAATCTCCCTGGCCATCATCTCTTCCCAGCCAGTCTTAGGTTTTCTCTATGGAAGACTTCTTTCAAAACAGTGTGAAAGTAGCATTCTGATAAGCCATTTGCATAACACAGAACCAGTTCTTATGTTTAAAAACACAACAAAAACTATAACTGACCTTTTAGTTGTGTCCACATATATATGTGTTCTGTGTAATTGCTAAAGCATAAGAACACAGAGTTTGAACTATTATGTTCTAAAACAATGGTATTCCAAATTTGGTAGGCATAAGAATCACCTGGAGGATTTACTACAAAAACATGAATGCAACCCATGTCTACTGACTCAGAATTTTCTAGAGGTATGTACATTTTTATTGAAGCAATTTTGTTAATGGAATTAACCTCTCTTTATGATAGATTTCCTACTTAGTAACCTGTTACTTAACAGACAACTACTTGTGGTTATCTTCACACTGATTCTCTAGTCCCACTCACGGATGTTGTGTTTTCCTACTTTACATGCTGAGTCTACGGAAATTGATACTGACATTTAATGCACTGTTGAGAAGATGGATTTTGAGTTATGCTCTAAAGGAAAAATGGCACGCAAACATCTTTATATTTCTAAGGCGAGGCTAAAATACAATCAATTTATGATAATGAATGTCATTGCCAAATGGCATCGTAGTCCCTTCATTTTCAAGTGATCTGGAAAAATATGTACAGTGCCTTTTGATCAAAGGGTAGACAAAGTAATGGAAGACTTCATAAATCAACCAGGGTTCATAACACCAACTTGATTGATGTCAAATTCTGCCGCCAGAGCAATGGGAGGTTTGCTTTTCTAAATAGGTATTCCTATATTGTAAATGGATAGAGTTCAAAAATAATTCTCAAGAAACAGCAGTTATTGTAATCTACAAACTAGGTTATCAAAATTGGCCAATGATATCCTCCAAAGATAGAGACAGAATGAATGCTTTTGCTGACTGCATGACCAATCCTCTTCTATCAATACTGATTATCTTGTAGTTTCCCTGACTTGTTTCAATTTGTTGTTTAGAGTAAAGTGGTAGCATTACAGTTATTCCATCACTCAGAGAAAGTTCTTTAAAAAAGAAAAAGGTATCTCTTATACCGAAGTCTGTATCTGGCTTTTAAAAATGAATTTTTATAAAATGATCTGTGTAGTTTTTCCATCCCTGATAAGTAACTTACTGTTGGTCTCAATAAATCAGTTGCTATTTTAAAAGTCTTCAAATGTATATTTATGGAGTTTTCTCCAATCTCTACTTTTCTACTAAATCTTTAAAGAAGCTGTTTATTTCCTGTGTAAAGAGGCTACTGGTTAGGCTACCTACCCCAAAGCTGGCACTGAAAAATATCATCTTCAATAAGCTGTCAGGGTCATTTCAATATTGAAATTTTGAAGGCATTCTTATGGAAGAGGGTGAGGAGGACAAAAAAGTATTTGGGTTTTGTTTTGTTATTAAGTAACCACAAACACCCCTCTTGTGTGCTTACAATTTAAATGCAGAGATGAGTAAAATACAAGTTGGAATGTAATGAAGAGAGAACCATTCCTGGAGACACAAGCAGAAATAGGAGGCAAGGAGTTTTCTAGGAAAGGGGCATGTCGGTGAACCCTACCTTTTAGTCTATAGGTTAAGGGTAACTCTGAACAAAGAGTAGGTGGGCAAAGTTTGTCCTGAACAGCAAAAAATCACCTTTCTCCCTGTCACCCCTTCTACCTCCCAGGCCCAGCCCCTAAGGTCTTCATGCCCCGCCCCCCGTTTGGGCTTTCCCCATGATCCAGACCTTTCCTATATTAACCATCCTTTTCCATGCTTATCTGTCTCAGGTGGCTGATGAATATAACCTTTGCTAATTTATTAATGAATGCCATAGATTATCAGTTGAACCTGGGTAATATGCCAACCTTTTATTTATTTAAACTTTTATAGACTGTCTACTACCCAAAAAGAAATGAGGTATTTACCAACAAAAACCAATGATACAACAAAACAGATGATGAAAACCCAAAGACAAAAAGAAATCAAAATCAGTTCATTAAGGGGGTATGAAGGGCAATAACAAAATCTTAAAATTGCTTAGGTCAGCTACCAGTACTGCACCCAAACCCGACAGAGTTAGCTTAACGATTCCTGATATTCAAAGCAACAAAGGACACAGCTGCACACTTTGATTAATTTTAAGAAGATATGTGACTTAGAAAAACCATATAACCTCTTAAGTGTCTCGGTTTCCCCATTTATAAAATGGGAGATATACTATCTACCTTATTTACTTCATATAGATCTTACAAGGGCTAAATAAATATATATGAAGTGTTTAGAACAGTGAAGACACATAGTAATTGTTATAGGTGTTGGCTACCATTATTACTATTGGTATTATTATTTCATCATTGTAGATGATTTTTCTTGTCCTTAAACACTGAAAAAAAGTGAATTAGAGGGACAATATAAATATAATTCATAATATTCCTGGTAGTAATTTTCCCCAAAACACAGATCCGCTCAACAAATAGCTATTTCTTAGATTAAATCTGCATGGGCATACAGTTTAAATTATTTAATGATTCCTCAACTTTTTCTATTAATTTCCAGAAGTCCTCTCCTTGTTGGATAAGAGGGCTTCTACTGCATGTCTTAATCACAGATGAAACAAGTGACACGTGGACAGGTAAAGTAGCTACACTTAATTAGCTCTCCTTCTGACTTCTAACTAAGGAAGACAGAAAAGCAAAGGGTAGAGTTTAAAACCCAGAAAGGAATAGCAAATCTGGGCAGTAGGTTGATGGGAGACTTTAGCATCTGGGAGTGTAAGGAAAGTGGCTCCAAAAAGTAGGGCAGACATTCAAGAAGATGGTATAATTTTCACTTGATCTAAGACTGATCCTACCTCAAGCCAAGAAGAAAAGGAGTGATTTCAGAGACTTAGATTAAGGGATCCACTGAACTATGGGTAGGGGTAAAAAACTAAGGGGGCTTAATCCACTCTTTCAAGAAGTAGTCAGCTCTTGCAAAGAACACAGTAGACTAGATGTTTCTGCTTTTTAGTTGTTTGAAATGGGATAAAGGAGTAAAACATAGATCAGATTAATGATTTGAACAATTAACTATTGAGACTTGAGAGCCACACAGAATGTGAGACTCCTGAAAGGGTGTCAGTGGATAACTATGGAGATGCATTCACTCATTTATGCAGAAGAGTGATTTCCAGTCAATGGATTCCTGGCTCTGATGGCTTTCTTCTGCAGTAGCCCCTGTGAGTCGAAGGCGGGAAGGATCCCAGCATTGGAGCCCTCAGCTGCAGTACCAAGGTCTACTAGTGGGAACTCAGTCCAGGGATAAACTGCCTTTTGCCTTTCTACAGGAATATTTGAACTAATTATGTGAGGCAAAGGGACAACATAGCCAAGAAAAGGCACCCATGTTAGCAGGAAAGTAGCAGCAGAATAAATTTAAGAGATAGAAACAACAGAATTTTGTAGTGGTTTAGGAGAGGAACAAAAGGATTTAAAAAAATAACTACTCTGTCCTTCTTCTGACTGCTTTCCTTTTTCTTTTAATAAGACTAAAGATGAATGGCTTATTTAGTCAGTTGAAACACAGCACCATAGGACCTCTGGGTGACCACAATGGGGAGGGAATATGGTGCGGATAACTTCTTGGGGTTTAATGGGCTTTGGAACCTCTTTGCGTGGCTGCCAAAGTTTCATCTTACATATAAGCACTTGCCTGCTTTTCAAGACTATCGAAAATGAAGGAAGAGTAAAGCTCCTTTAAACACTAAAACTTTCTCCCTGCATTCCACATTCACCCTACCGTGTTCTAATACCAATGGGAATTAATTCAGCTGGAAGCCCCAGGCTGCTGCTTTTTTTTTTCTCTCCCTTTGGCACCCCAAGGACCCCAATAATTTTGAAATGGAGAGGTCTGGATTTTAATGTATTGATGCGGGTATTTCCTCCCATAGCCACTGGTGCTTTATTTTTTTTTTAAATAATACATGATAGAGCCAGAGAAAATTTAATTCACGGAGATAGAAACCTAAAGACAACTGAAGAGATCTAGTATGTAAATCAATACCAAAAATGACCCACTAATAGTTCTCATATATGTATTTATGTACATTTTTTTCTTCCAAAAATTACAACTACATTTGGTAGAATTAAATAGAAGTAAAAGAACTAAAAGCAGGAGAGGCTTTCACATACCCATGTTTTCCTTTGATAAGGCATCATCTGAACAAACATTTTCAAAAGAGCATTTAAAAATAGCTTTCCTAGAAAAAGAATTTGACAGATTTAGTTTCAAAAGAGCAATCATGTATATTTAAGTGGCCATTTGTATATTCATTGATAATTATAAATTATGAATATATTTCTTTATCTTGAGGTACGTTTCCTTGGTTGTTTTATACAGTAAGACAGCACGATACAGTGAAAAACCAAAGGGAAATAATATTGATCTGAGCTCTCACTAGGTGAGAGTGAAAAGTGTGAAAAGCTTTTCTAGGTGAAAAGCACTAATGACCCACCAAGTACCTTATATAGGCTTTTTCATGCAATCCTCCCCCAGAAAACCTACTAAGGAATTGCTACTCTCATTTTATAAAGAAACTGAAGCTCTAAGAAATTGAGAAATTTGACAGTGTAGGAAATGGTTGGACATGACACAGCTAAATTCTGTCAGACTGCAAAATCCATGCTTTTCCCACGACACTGTGTTGCTGACTTAGAGTCAGAGAACATTTGTTCAAATGCATTTTCTCTAACCATAAGATCTTGAGAAAGCCAGTTAGTTTCCATAAGTCATAAGTTTTTTACCTTTTAAATAGAGGTGATTATGATACACCCCCTACCTATTTGATGGGGTTATTGTGAAGTATAACTAAGATAAGTAAGGCCTTTTTAAAAATTTAATTATTCATCCTCTGAAGAAGGACAAAGAATAAGAGAAGGACTATCATATCAGAGTCAGACTTTGTCTTTGAGCAGGACTCCTTTAATACAGCACTGATTACCAGTCATCAAAAAAATAAGTAAATTAACTGTTTGGTTGGTTCAATGATAAACACTAAAACTTGTCATCGGTGGCTTATCAGTTCATTATAAAGGCCTGTTTCTGGTTTGCACTATTTTTAAACCAAACACCTGCTTCTCATCTGCTTGCTCACATGATATTAATCTTTGATGGTTCTGCTTCAACATATTTGTATAAACATAAAACTTTCTCCATACTTCTAAAACTACTACTTATCACCTTAATTCTTTTAGAAAATTTTCATGTTTCCCTAGAGAAAAAGAATCAAGAATCAGGGGGCAATGACATAATAATTAAATTACACACACACACACATTTCAATTTTATCATAATATTTTTCAATAAAAAATACCTTTTCCTTCTTCTAAATTTGGGCTTCTTCTTTTCAGTAGTGTTTTTGGAAACTTGCATCTATAAAATAACAACAAAAAGATGAGTTAGTTCAAATGGGACTAGATGAGTTCAGTAAGATAATGGGTCCTATATGTCCAAGTAATTTAGTCCAGAAGAAAAACTCTGGCCCACAGCTCTCAACCACACCTGGAACCCCAAGTCAACCACTTCATAGTCACTACAATTACACTGATCTGCTCAACTTCCAGGAATAGTAGACTAATCCAATGAGTGCCCATCTCCCATGTCCACCCTCCTTCTCACTTCACAAACATATAATAACACTAGGCAAAACAATCTTTATGTTTTAAAACATAGATGACCTTTAAAGAAAGAAAAAGAACTATTCAGATGCCAGAAACATGAGGGGTGCAAAACTATATGGATAGGAAGTGACAGGGTAAAGGCCTACAAAAAATGTATACCAGGATAGGGCCAAAAGGGTTGGGGATTTTAATATCTAAGCAAAGACGAGATGAAGGATGTGGAGAAATTGGTACCTCCATACACTGTTGGTGGGAATGTGAAATGGTGGAGCCACTTTGGAATACAGTTTGACAGTTCTTCAAGATGTTAAACAGAGAATTACCTTATGATTCAGCAATTCTACTCCTAAGTATATACCCATGAGAAGTGAAAACATTATGTCCATACAAGAAATTGCATATAAATGTTCATAGCAGCATTATTCATAAGAGCTCCCAAGTAGAAACAACCCAATGTCCATCAATGGATAGATAATATGTAGTCTATCCATACAATGGAATATTATTTAACCTTTAAAAACAACAAAGTCCTGACAAATACTAAAACATGGATGAATCTTGAAGCCATTATGCTAAGTGAAAAGTGAAAAAGTCAGACACAAAGACCACATGTTGTATGACACCACTTATATAAAATGTCCATAAAAAGGCAAATCCATAGAGACAGAGACAGATTAGTAGTTGCCAGTGGAAGGTGGGAAATGGGCAGTGACTGCTAATAGGTATGAGGTTTCCTTTGGGGTAATGAAAAAATGTTCTAAATTCATATAGCGGTATTGATTGCAAAACTGCGATTATACTAAAAACCACTGAACTGCATATTTTAAAACAGTGAATAAATTACATTTCAATAAAGGTATAATTTTTTTAAAAATTTGGTGACACGGAAAAATGGAAAGTAAGGAGACAGAATATAATATATCAATGATTAACAAAAGGAACCCAACATAGCGATATTACTGTTAGAAAAAAGCATAATCATAGGTAAAAAGGGTTATTACCTAATGCTAAAAGAAACAACCCACCCAGAAATATATCAGTCCTCACCTGTATATACCTAGAATTTCAGCCTTAACATATATAAAGGGAAAAACAGAAAAGAATCACAAGTAGAAACTGATAAATCTACATTAAAAGGAGATATTTTAAGTTACTTCTCATACAAAAATGAAAAAGCAAAAAAAAAAAAAAACAGCAAAGAAACAGGAACGTTCAACAACACAGATAATGTTTAATCTAATAAACATATCTTGAACCTGGGACTGAATAATTAAGGAATACATATAGCTTTCAAGCCTGAAACATTTACAAATTTGACCACCTACTAGGTCACAAAGGAAGCCTCAAAATATTAAAGTAACCTCTCTATTTTACAGACCACAGTTACTGGCTAAAATGCAATAAAATAAGAAATCAGAGGTGCCTGGGTGGCTCAGATGGTTAAGCGTCTGCCTTTGGCTCAGGTCATGATCTTAGGGTCCTGGAATCGAGCCACACGTCGGGCTCCTTGATCAGCAGGGAGCCTGCTTCTCCCTCTCCCTCTGCCTGCCGCTCTGCCTACTTGTGTTCTCTCTCTATCCCTCTGTGAAATAAATAAATAATCTTTAAAAAAAATCAAAACTCAGAAGATAGCTGAATAAAATCTGTAATCAATTCATAGATGTAGAAGAATTACATTCTCCCATGAACTTACCCATGATAAGAGTTATGATCTATGTCATTTGGAATTATTGTGTCACATTTTAGTTATTGGTATACGTGACTTATTTTCTCACTGGGTAATACATTTGTCTCCATGTCATTCCTTGAACACTATAGGAGCATGTGAAGTGTTTGCAGAATACACGAATGAATAAATGTTCAGAGAAAGATACAATAAAAACAAATATCACTAGGAAAAAACAGTGCCAGTGTTACTGTCCATTCTGTCCCATCGTGGTTGTTGATTTAAGCATTTAACAAATTCATACAATTTGCCCTCATCTCCTAAGACAGAACCGCAATGCAACTTTCACCCCAATGTTAGCTTCTTTTGTCTTTTCACTTTAACCTGCTAAAGTGAGCGGTTTCTTAGCCCATTTTGTCTAAATCTTTCAGTTACACTGATCTTAATTTTACTGATCTTGAATCAAGCAACCACACTGCAAGGGTGGGAACAATTTTTTTTATATATATTAAATGTTTAGCAGCTAGCAGAGTGCCATTCACATTGTATGTTCAAAAGCATTAACTATAATGAGATGAAGGTTGAATTTAATAACTCTCAAAGCATTATTAAACAGCTTAAATACCTCAATAACCATTCAAAAGAAGTTTGTATGACACACTCAGGGAATTCATATTATGATGATGCTAAAAAATAAGTGGGTTTTGTGTGTGTGTGTGTGTGTGATCTGCAACCACAAGGTAATATTCAAATATTTTTTCCATCCCTGTTTCATATATATACATGAAAGTAAATAAGGTAAAAGAGCATATGGAAATATTATTATCTAAATCATTGTTCTACATCTCCAAAGACAATGTAGAGCTATTTCTATCTTGTTATTAAGGATCAACTTAAATTATGTGCATATTTGATTATAAAGTGAAAAGGCTGCTGCAAGGGGAAATAAGATTAAAGTAACAAAGTACAAACTACTTCATAGGTATTAATAGAAAGAAATACTGTTAAATAGCTACCATAAACCAAGGAGATTTCTGTTAGAGATAATAAATTCCTTTCTACTTTGTTAAATATTCCATAAAAGCCAAAATGAAGTAGTCAGTATTGCCAAATGCCCCGTACTTTCCAGCTCCAAGCCTTGATAAAATATGCTATGATGGAGAAGAGCACTGAATTTGGAATGACAGGATCATGATTTGAATTTAATCCTGGTAAGCTGTATCACTTCTGGTAAGTCATAGACTTACCAGAATATCTAGCAAGAGCCTGGTATAAAGTAGACACTTAATAAGTATTTTCTGACTAAATGACCATTCTGTATTTCAGGACCTTCTTTTATAACTACTGTTAAAATATAACTATCTCAAAGCTTTTGGGGGTAAGATGAAATTAAATAACATCCCAGAAGGTATCTAACAGTGCTCAACAATTAGTCAATGTTCAATCATTGTTTAACCCGTTATACTAGTCCACTGGGGTAGTGTCAGAATTCTATCATTTTTCCTTAGAGCATATGACAGAACTTGGCACTTGTTATGGCTGGACTTATGGTAATCCATTAGTTTCCCAAGGCTGCCATAACAAAGTAACACAAACTTGGTAAAGCATCAGAAATTTATTTATTAATAGTTCTGTAGGACATAAGTCTGTCTCTTATGCACAGACCCTTAAGGATACTGGTCACTGGATGCGGGCCCAACTAATCCAGGATGATCTCATATCAAAATCCTTACCTTAATTACCTCTGCAAAGATCCTTAATTCCAAATAAGGTCACATTCTGAGGTTCCTGGAGAACGTATTTTCTGGGGGCTACTATTCAACCCACAAGTAGATACTATAATCTTTATCTATTTTATCCCTTCCACTTCTCTTCCTGTGTTGCAGCTGATTCTCCCATGTTGTCGAGCCTCATGCTATTCAGAGTCAGGGCCGCCACATGCAGAATTAGCAATACCTGAGAGTTTGTTAGACATGCAAATTCTCATGCCCATCCTAGGCCTACTGAATCAGAAACTCAGGGAGTGGGGCCCAGAAATCCCCATTTAAATAAGTTCTTCAGGTGACCTGTACCCCAACTAGAGTTTTCTAGGCCTTGGTCTAGCCCACAAGCATCCATACAAATATAATGCTATATACTGTCATTGATTTTAAAGAAACCAAAGCAAGTATTAATTCTTTTCTTGCTAGATGTAGAGGAATCTACAAGAAGCGTATGTATAGAGAGCAAATGCCATTTACTGAAAAAAAAAAATTTATTTAATGATAATTAGGACTGCTGACTGGATTGGCAAATGGCAGAATTGCCCTTAATTGCCACAGATAGATAATCCATAAGAATTGTGTTTACATCAGATTTATATAATCTTCATAAAGTGACTTGACGTTGCCCATATCTTAAGTCACTATTCATCTAAATGAAAATAATTTTATTTTTAAGAACAACTTTGTTAGCTGTGTTAAATCTGAGGGCATAAAATTTTGATTCAGCATTTTATGCTCATAGAATACATAAATATGTTTTGTAACCTTCCATTGAGAGTAATTGTCAATCAACGAACACTAAAGAGCTGCCTACTTTGACAGAATTTCCAAACGTGAATCTGTGTCTTGAATAATATACACAAACTCCTTGTCAAAAGTTATCATATAGAAGGAAAAGCCAATATTCTTATTTCCCTTTGGAAAATCTGCTGGGAAAATCTGCTTGGAATAAGGATGAAAACTAGTTTTATGCAGCTTTGTAAATGATGGTTATTACTTAATCTGAGTTTCTGGAGAGTACAAATAATAAAGTTAAGTTTTCAGGCCTAGATAATGATTGTTTTCACTCTTCTTTGAAAAGGGGGAAAATTAAAATAATCATTTTCTAGCCCTATTTTAAACAAGATTTTAACAGAGAGAATACAAATCTAGTGCTTTTTACATAAATGTCACTCGATTACCATATGTTCCAGTCCAGTCGCTCTTAGTAGAGTTCAGTATTCCTGCGAGATTTGAACGATATCAGAGATCAGTCCCTGGCAATATGACTTATAAATATCTTGCTGTCCCCTGCACTATCTTTAGCCATGTGTAAGTTCTCAC